ACATCAACAGCGAGCACATCCACGGGGAGCGGAAGGAGTTCGTGTGCCACTGGGGGGGCTGCTCCAGGGAGCTGAGGCCCTTCAAAGCCCAGTACATGCTGGTGGTCCACATGCGCAGACACACAGGCGAGAAGCCACACAAGTGCACGGTGAGGCGCCCTCTTCCCAACCTCAGGGTCCTACCTAAACTGTGGCCCCACCAAGGCAGGGCCTCGTTGTGACTTTTGGGGGCCCTAGGCACTTACGCCTTTGTAGGCCCTTTCTTCCATAAACGAACATTAAACATTTATATTTTGTGACTGTGTTGGTATGAAGTTAAACATTGATGTTGTATATTAGAATGCTTTCTTGGACCTACAAGCTAATGTTTCCCTTGCTTTTAATATAAAATTGAAACATTGTTGTGAGACCCCTGAAAGCACCGTGCACTCCAGGCACTGTGCCCACTACATCACACTGCTGAACGGAGAGGCCTTACATCGAGGGCAGAAGACACTCTCAGATTACTCCATCCTAAAACAGTCTCGGATCTCCATGCAGGGAGACCCGCCCTGGCCTGGCCAGGAGATGCTCTGGCCTCAGCTTCAGGTCCCTGCAGGCAGAGTGCCTCCAGCTTCTTCTGTTTCCCCAGCTGTTGTCTGTCCATGTCCTCTAATTATGGGAATTCTGAAGCCCCAGTACTCTCCCATCTTGAGTTATATTCTCTGATGTATGTCCCTTTTGAGATTTAGGGTTCCTTTAATTCCATGTCCTGTCTGAGAGCTATCCTTTGACCCCTACACCCCCCAGTTTGAGGGGTGCCGGAAGTCCTACTCACGCCTCGAAAACCTGAAGACACACCTGCGGTCGCACACGGGCGAGAAGCCGTACATGTGCGAGCACGAGGGCTGCAGCAAGGCCTTCAGCAACGCCAGCGACCGAGCCAAGCACCAGAACCGAACCCACTCCAATGAGGTGAGCGCCTTCCCTAAGAGACTCCCCCCACTTGAGAAGCCACATGCCAGGGAGACTCCCCCACGAGAAATCCCTTAGCCCAGCACCCACTCCACGGAGGTGAGTTCTCCCCACCTATATAATTCACCTGGAGAAGGCCTTTTTGAAACTAAGAATTTCCACTTACCACCTTCTACCCCCTACCTCTGACCAGCCAAAGGGCTAACCTAAAAAAGACCCGTTCTGACTAAAGGAGACCACTGGCCCCTTCAGTCCCTGGAGTCGTCAGGCCTCACAGACCCAGGTTCACCTCCTCACCTTCCCCAGGCCTGGGCAGTCAGTTTTCCTCATCTTTCCCCAGTCCTCTCATTTTTCTCTCCAAGGGCTCCACTCCTCCCATTTCCTTGGGTGCTGTGTGTCCCCCCTCTTACCCCCTCATCCTTACTGGTTGCCACCAACTTATCGAATTCCTTCTGCATTCTCCCACTTTCACATCTTTGCCTGCTGTCTTCCTCTTCCACTCAACAGAAGCCGTACGTGTGCAAGCTCCCCGGCTGCACCAAACGCTACACCGACCCCAGCTCGCTCCGGAAACATGTCAAGACAGTGCATGGTCCTGACGCCCATGTGACCAAGCGGCACCGAGGGGACGGCCCCCTGCCCCGCGCACCCTCCCTTTCCACAGTGGAGCCCAAGAGGGAGCGCGACGGAGGCCCTGTGAGGGAGGAGAGTAGACTGACTGTGCCCGAAGGTGCTATGGTGAGACAGCCGGACAGCCCTCTGTCTCCACGCCTGCGACTGCCCGTCCCCTCCTGTCCCTCTCCTATGGCCAGCCCTCCTTCAGATGTCTTGGTGTTGCTCCTTGGGCTACCCCACACCTAAGGATTTTAGTGTATTTATTTAATTCATTCAGCAAATTCTTATATAGGACTCATCATGTTGTTCTGAGCTCTTTACATGTATGATTTCATGTGCCTGTCAGAACCACTTCATGAGAAAGGAACTTATTTTCCCCATTTTCGGATGAGAAAACTCAGGCACAGAGAAACTGCCCAAGGTCATAGAGCTAAGAGGACTAATTGAGCCCAGGTGGTCTGTGCTCCAGCCTCGGTTCTTCTCACCAACCACCAACGTCTCTCCCCAAGGTTGCCCTGCCCTCCCCTGCTCAGCCCTCTACACCTGTAAGCCTCCCCTCAGTCCCAGCAGTCATCACCAGGACACACGCTTTTAGTCACTCACCAAGTTCAGGGAGCTGTGGGGAAAGGAAAAGGGTGCCAGCCTCAGCCCTCATCTCTCCCCACAGAAGCCACAGCCAAGCCCTGGGGCCCAGTCGTCCTGTAGCAGTGACCACTCCCCAGCAGGCAGCGCCGCCAATACCGACAGTGGTGTGGAAATGACTGGAAATACAGGGGGCAGCACTGAGGACCTGTCCAGCTTGGACGAGGGGCCTTGCATTGCTGGCACCGGCCTGTCCACTCTTCGCCGCCTTGAGAACCTCAGGCTGGACCAGCTACATCAACTCCGACCAATAGGGCCCCGGGGCCTCAAACTGCCCAGCTTGACCCACACCGGTGAGACCTGAGTGTGGTGGGTGGTTGCTGGGCTGAGATCTAGACCTTCCTTGAGTGTGGAAGGAGGACTTTACCCTTTAGGGGTGCAATATAGCACTGTTGTACACTAGAAAAGGGTCCCGCTTCTTTAAGACACTTTCCTTCCATCCATTAGAAAACTGTGATATACAAAGTGTGGGAAGTGAATGCTGTCCCCTAGGACTGTGCAGTGTGCCACCTGCACAGCCGTTCACAGCAGCCCTGAATCGCTGATGGGACAGGAGCAGAAAGGGCGTGGGAAATGGAGGAGACAGAACTAGTGGTTGGAGTTAAGGAGCCTTTCCCTGGGATTCCAGGACAAGGCTGTCCCATGGGGGAGGCAGGGTTAGATTCAGGGGGCTTCCTGACTGCCCTGCCTTTTCTCTCTATCACTTGCAGGCACCCCTGTGTCCCGCCGTCTGGGTCCCCCAGTTTCTCTTGACCGCCGCAGCAGCAGCTCCAGCAGCGTCAGCTCAGCCTATACTGTCAGCCGCCGCTCCTCCCTGGCCTCCCCTTTCCCCACGGGCTCCCCGCCAGAGAATGGGGCATCCTCTCTGCCTGGCCTCACACCTGCCCAGCACTACCTGCTCCGGGCAAGATATGCCTCAGCCAGGGGAGGTGGTACTCCACCCACTGCAGCATCCAGCCTGGATCGAATTGGGAGTCTTCCTGGACCTCCCTGGAGAAGCCGAACTGAGTATCCAGGATACAACCCCAATGCAGGGGTTACTCGGAGGGCCAGTGACCCAGCCCGGGCTGCTGACCACCCAGCCCCAGCCAGAGTCCAGCGGTTCAAGAGCTTGGGCTGTGTTCACACACACCCCACCACAGCAGGGGGAGGACGGAACTTTGATCCTCAGCTCCCAACCTCTGTCTACTCACCACAGCCCCACAGCATCAGTGAGAATGTCACCATGGATACCAGAGGGCTGCGGGAGGAGACCGAGAATGCAACCTCCATGATGGGCAGTGGTCTGAACCCTTATATGGACTTCCCACCTGCTGATACTCTGGGTTATGGGGGACCTGAGGGGGCAGCTGCTGAGCCTTATGGAGCTAGGGGTCCAGGCTCCCTGCCTCTTGGACCTGGTCCACCCACCAACTACAGCCACAACCCCTGTCCCCAGCAGGTCTCCTATCCCGACCCCACCCCAGAAACATGGGGTGAATACCCTGCCCACTCCGGGCTGTACCCAGGCCCCAAGGCTCCAGCTGGAACCTACAGCCAGTGTCCTCGTCTTGAACATTATGGACATGTGCAGGTCAAGCCAGAACAGGGGTGTCCAATGGGCTCTGACTCCACAGGACTGGCACCCTGCCTCAATGCCCACACCAATGAGGGGCCTCCACGCCAGCAGCCTCTGTTCTCCCACTACCCCCAGCCTCCCCCACCCCAATATCCCCAGTCAGGCCCCTACAACCAGCCACCCCCTGATTATCTTCCTTCGGAACCCCGGCCCGGCCCGGATTTTGATCACCCCACTCACCCTACAGGGCAGCTCAAGGCTCAGCTTGTGTGTAATTATGTTCAGTCCCAGCAGGAGCTGCTGTGGGATGGTGGGGACCGGGGAGATTCCCCAGTCCGGGAACCTCTCTACCAGAGTCCCAAGTTTTTGGGGGGCTCCCAGGTTAGCCCAAGCCCTGCCAAGGCCCCAGCGGCCACATATGGACCTGGCTTCACACCTAGCTTGCCCAATCACAAGTCAGGTTCCTACCCTACCCCTTCACCATGCCATGAAAATTTTGCAGTGGCGGGGAACAAGCCTCCCCATAGGGTAGCAGCACCACCCCGACTTCTGCCCCCGCTGCCCACTTGCTATGGGCCACTTAAGGCAGGGGGCACCAACCCCAGCTGTGGCCACCCTGAGATGGGCAGGTTGGGAGGAGGGCCTGCCTTGTACCCTCCTCCTGAAGGACAGGTGTGCAACCCCCTGGACTCTCTCGATCTTGACAACACTCAGCTGGACTTTGTGGCTATTCTGGATGAGGCCCAGGGGCTGAGTCCCCCCCCTTCCCATAGTCAGGGGGACAGCTCTGAACATACCCCACCTCCCTCTGGAGCCCCCAACATGGCTGTGGGCAACATGAGTGTCTTACTGGGATCCTTGCCTGGTGAGACACAATTCCTCAATTCCAGTGCCTAAAGTGTGGAATCCCACCCATCACAGATCCACATTTCCTAAGGGGTGTCTATCCCCCCAGAGAAGTCGGAAGAAGGAGCCACGGCTCCCCAGGATGCCCCAGGGACAGGAGGTAGGGGCTGGAGGCTGTATACAATCTGTATATATTTGGGGGAGAAATTTGATAATGACACTGTTTCCTAATAAAGGAACTGCATCAGAAAGAGCCCTGCTTTACGTGCTATTATCTTGGGGAGGGGTTAACGCCCCCCCCCCCACACACACACTTTCCTCTTTAGAGACGCTCTCTCAGCACACCCCAACCCCTTAAGTCAGACTCACAAAGATGAGACAGTCATCTGGGAGACACAAGATTTAAAGGAATGTTCTCAGAACATACCATACCATCAAAGGGCACCATTGGAAACACATTTTCTCTTCTTGCCCCAGTCAGGGGAAGAGGCTGGTAAAGTCAGTGAGCATCATCTGGACTAGCTGCCCAGGGTAGAGAGCATGGGCTGCTGGGTCGGATGTCTCCTGCTCGGGCCGAAACAGGGTTGGTCCAAACACAATCCCCAGATTGTGAGGGGTCATGCGGTTCTTATCTGAGTGTGCTATCACCCTGCGGGCAAAGGCCAAGAGAAGGGGTGATAAGGCATCAGCTTCGCCACTTCGAATAAATCTAACCTTTCAAAGATTTGAGCAGGGAAGGATTCACCCTTCTTTGTGGGGGCCAAAGGAGACCAAGGAGACAGGGCCTCAAGGGGGATGGAGATAGGACCGGTGGACAAAACTTCAGGATACAACTTGAAGAAACAGGCTAGGATATGACTACCTCTTCCCAGCTTCAGAGACTTCCCCTAGAGCTCTCTCTGATCACAGTTTGGAAGGCTTTAATTCAAACGGCTATCCTCTCTCAGAAGTCACTGCCCAGGTCCAGCTCAGCCAAATAAGCCCTAACCAGTGTTCCAATGGGAAACAAAGAGGCGGAGGGAAGGAGGAGGTTAGATTTCCCTTATTTCTCACACAGCATTGCTGTGCTTAAATTGGTCCCCATTTCCCTATTTGATGCTAACCAGCAGCTTTAGAGCCTCATAATATGACCCCCTGCATAGAGGTTGTCGGTTTCTTCAATCTGCTCTAAATTGAGGTGTTTCCCTACCTTAGCCCCATTCAAATAGACTCCTTGCTGCATGCTCTACCCCACCCTCTTCCTGAATGGACAAAGACGTTCCGTTTTCCCAACCTGCATAAATGCTCCAGGAGGTACCGCAGAGTGTCATGGTTGGGCTTTGGCAGTGAGACTATTAATTCTCGTATTTGAGAGAGACGCTGTTCTGATTCCAGGAGCGCTGGAGAGAAAGAGTAAGGGGAAGGGCATAGGGGTGAGCTCAGGGAAGGCGCCAGTGCAGGGTGGGTAACAGTTCTCTTTCCTAGGCCCATGGAAGACATCATTTATCCAACACAGCTTTCTTTTTCACTGAGCCCAACTGCAGCCTTAGAATTCTTTTCACCTCAGCCCTCTAAACGTTCACACACACACACACACACACACACACACACACACACCAACAATGACAACAACAACAACAACAACAACAACAACTAGAGTTGGCACATGTGTTGAAAGTTATTTACCATCTCTGTCTTCAGGATGAGACAGAAGAGTACAAGGGAACCTCTGCTCCATTCTTTACCACTCATGCCTCCCCCCCAATACCAAGGGCATTTCCCAAAGCTCCCATCCCTTACCAAGGGCAGCACGAAAATCAGGCAGCAGCGATGGGGGTACCAGAGGCTGGGGTAGCTCCCTGAGAAAAAGCTTCAGGGCTCCAGTGACCACATGAATGTCATCCCACTCAGCACTGTCCAAATCCAACCGACCTTCTGGAAGGAGAAGTAGGTATAGAGGGGTTCAGGGTTCATGAAGGGCCACAGGGACATAGAGACTGAGAGATCAGGAGTTTGATAGAAGAATGCGGCTAAGGCAGACCACAAGAATGCCCAGGGGGCCCGCAAGGGGCAAGACAGCCGAGGTAGGGATGGGGACAACCCTTCCAGGAGGAGGACATGGGGAAACCCACAGGGAGCAAGGAGGATATGGGGGACTTTTAAGGATCTAAGGGGATCCTTACTCCGTGTAAATACCTTGTCCTGGTTGTTCTGGGAACATGTACCTCCCATCGGAGGTGACTGCCCGCTCTGTAACAGGTATAGGAAGAGATTAAGAGATAAGGCATGCAGTTCCAGCCAGAAGACCCCCCTGCTCTGCCAGCTCCCTCGTTCAGAACCACCTGGTTCTGAGACATGAAGTTCTCAGTACCACGGCTTGCCTACCGGCCTCCTCACCTCTGTCCACCAGGAAGCGAAGTTTCTGGACCACTGCCAAGTTCCCGCTTACCCGGTAAATGCCATCCACATCCAGACCTAGGAGATGAGGCAAGGAGAAGATAAGAATTGCTGCTCGAACGTGTGTGGAGAGGTCTGGTGAGGGATCCGAGGGTAAAGAGAGAAAAAAGTTAAAATGACAACTAGGGGGAGGGGGGTGGGGAATTCTGGGCCTTGGCCCTTTGAAAGGGCAGACTCTGGGGTCTCCCGGAAAATGACCTCTCTTATCCACAGCAGCAATGCAGAGCCGCACAAAGCTGGGCACGGTGTCTCCTTCCCGCTGACACAGTGATTCCAACTGGCAGCCGAACACCTGGTCTGGGGAGATACAGAGTGAGGTGGGAAGCCAGTGCCAGTGTCGCCCAGGGAAGCTCTTCTGGGCACAGGCCCTCACCTCAAAGCTGGGCTCGCCCTGCAGGCTGTCCGTCCTGGGTATGGACAAGGGGACACCCACCTCCCAACAATCAGCGGTAGTGGGAAAAGCAGTGGTCTCAGAAGACCATTGATTTAGTTTTGGGAAATTCTACTGTGAGCTTCACTGAAGTTTTCTCATCCATGAAATGGGCTGGTGCCCAGATCAAGAACATAAAAACACTACGGGAGGCGGGAAGGAAAAAGGTGCCAGCTAGCCCAGCCCACTTCACCTCGGAGCAGACCCCGCTCCTGCAGGCTTTGTAAGGGTGGTCTTTTAGCGATAAGCCGCTTTAGTTTGTTCCGCACGCGGTTCTGCTCAGTTCCCTCTGGGCAGCGACCTGCAGGAGGCAGGTGGGATCGTAGCTCGAGCGCCGCGGCCGGGAGGAGGAACCTGGAGAGCCGCCCCCAGGCCCCGCCCCCCAGGCGGGCCCGCCTCTAACTGGAGCTCCTGCGGCCGCCGAAACGCCGCAGTGGCTTGAACCCCGACTCCTCTTCTTCGTCCTCCCCAGCGCTCAGCTCCTCCAGCTCCGCCGGTCCCGAGCCTGATAGACGCAGCTCCACCGGATTCTCCCGATCCTAGAAAAGGACGGGTGAGGTGGGCCGAGAGGAGAGAAATCTGCACCCGCGGTTTGAAGCGAGGAAACCGCAACCGGCTGCTGAGGTCCCACGTCCTAGTCCCACCCTAGGGCTCTGCTTGGAGACCACCCTGCCCTCCGCAGCCCTGAACACTTCCCCACTCCCAGGGCCCCGCCCCGGCCCGAGCCTGCCGCCCGCTCTGTCCCGCCCCTTCCGACCCGCCTCACCAGGCGCTCGAGGACCGCCCGCAGTGCCCGGTGCCAGGCCCGCAGCTCGGTCTCGAGGTCTGACTGCAGCAGGAACTCGTGGCCAGGCACCGTTCGGATCTGGGGAGCCGGCGGGGAAAAGGCTTGGGTCAGCGGGACGAGCATGAAAAGCAGGGAGGCCGAGCTGGATCTTGCGGGGAATTGAGGGCGCACCCTCACGTGGGAGGGGGCTTTGGGGGTGCTGGAGAGGGCACTCACGTGCAGGACGTTGCGGCGGCTGGACAGGTGGCGGCCGTGCGCCAGGGCCGCCCCGCGTAGGTCCACACTGCTCTCGGGCCGGGTGCCCGCTGGTCCCTGGCAATCCGGGGAGGAAACCGTGGCAACCGTGCGGTTTCCCTCATTGTCTCCGGGTGGACCGGGAAGACGTGCGAGGCTGTGCTCCTTCCCAATGCTATACCTTCCTCGACACCTCCCTGCCCACCTCCGCCCCACAGGTGGCCGGAGTCCCCCCTGCACCCGCCCTCCCCTCCCTCACACTCACCCAGGCTGAGGAGGGTGCGGCGGGGGGTGGCTCTCGGTAGAACACCAGGCTGTTACCCGCTAACACCACCCAAGATGGGGCCCAGTTCTTCCTGCAGGGGCGGAGGGGCAGCAGAAGCGGTGCAGAGGTCATTTAGAAGCACTAGGAGAGGCGCTCTCCCAACGCTCTGCTCCACCCAACAGACGGGCCGACCACCCAGACCCCAGAGGTCTTCCCAGTCCTCCTCACCTGAGCTTGCGTCCCCCCTGAGCGATCTTAGTCACGTTGAGCTGGCCCGACTTTTCCACCTCCTGGGAAGCGGGGGGGCGCTACGGATAAGTCACCCACTGGCCCTCACAAGGCTCCCCACCTCGGCTTTCCCCTAGGGCGGGGTCCTTTGGAGTTGCGAGGGAAGCTGGGGAAGCGAGGATGCCCAGAGAACACTCAGAAAGAGGAAGATCTTTCTGGAGGAGCAGGAATCAGGGCATGGGGCAAGGAGATTCTCGGCATTCGCACGCAAGTGGGAGGCTTACATGGGGGTCGTCCAGGACCTGCGGCAGAGGCCGAAGGGGCTGCCGGGCCGAAGGCTTGTCGGAGGGGTCGAGCTGGGAGGTGCGTCGCCGGAGGCAGGGTGAACCCTGGGGCAGGGGGGTGGAGAAACAGGTGGAGAAAACACTGACTTGGAAGTCCCTAGCTGCGGGGGAAGAGGGGTGCGGATGTGGGTGACAGGGGTGTAGTAAAGAATGTCTTGCATAAGAGAAAGTCGTGAAAAGATGAAAAGATGGCTTTTCACGACTACATGTAATCTGGAGCAGGAAGGGATCTCACCTGGGGGGCGAGCAGTTCTGGAGACCCTGTGTCAGAGTCTGAGCCCTTCGCCTGAGGCTGCAGGACACCGTTGTCCCCGTTCAAGGTCTGTGTCCCCTCCATGGAGGCAGCGTCCTGGGGGGGAGGGGAGGTAACGCTACATCCAGATGCCACCTCAGCCAGTTCTCAACACCCTTCTCACAACTTTCTGATTCTTCTGATCTTCTGAAAGCCCCAGAAAGAGAACGCACTCCTTCGGGATACAGTAGGGAGAAGGAGGAGATTGGGGCACAAAGATAAGCAGGAGAGAAGGACTCACCGTCTCCCCGGTTCGAGTGCAGCGGCGGCGTGGGGGCTTCCAGGACTTGCAGCCAGTCAGTGAATTTATGTAGAAGCAGCGTCCGGAGTTAGGGTCCAGGTACTGTTCCCAGGTGCCCAGCCTCTGCAGCGGGGGGCATACAGGGTTTGGGGGTGGGGAGCAGGAGCAGCGGCGAAGGTCCACCAAGTTACAGTACACAGGGGGCTCTGACATGAGGGGCCGGGGTCCTGCCTGCCAGGAAAGGGGGAAGAAAGGTAGTTATTCTGCCTGAGCCCTCCGCAGACTCCTCTCCACCTAACCACCTCCTTCCCTCCCCCACCATTTTCTCACCACCGGATCCTGCCTGGGGTGACCCAGGTACTGAGGGAGAAAGCGGTCCCCAGCTGATTTTTTTTTAACTCCCTCCCTCACAGTCTTCTTTGCTCTTCTCCTCACTTCCTGTTGCCAACTTCCCTCCTCCCCCACACCACCCCCACCCCAGGGCTGCAGGAAAGGGGAACAGGCCATGTGTGTGTGTGTGTGTGTGTGTGTGTGTGTGTGAGGGGGGGGGGGTTGAGGGGCACTCCCCACCCTCACATCCTCCAGAGTAAAAGAAGACAGAGAGGAGGGGGGTATGGGAAAGGAGGGGCCATTTTTCAACCACCAGTAACTAAGAGAGGGGAGGGGCTGAGTCTTCAGGAAGAGCAAGGGAGTTCCATCTCTAGAGGGGACTTACTGGTGACTTGAGCTGGCAAAACCCAACACAGGACAGACCCTGCCTTGGGCCAGCAGTCAGAAGGAAGAGAGAGAAAGCATAGCCGAGGTTGGCTTCATTGCAATCCATCTGTCATCTGCCAGGTTCCATGTATCCTCAAGGATCTTTGCTACTTGCTGCCCCTCAGCTAGAATTCTTTCTCATCCCCTCGTTTGCTTCTCAGCTGTTTCTGACTTCTCCTGATTCAGATTCAACTAAATGTCATCTCCTCAGAGATGCCTTCCTAGACCACCTTGGTCACTCTCCATCATATTTACCTTCTTGGTAGCTCTTATCAGTACCAACATATATTTACGCATTATCACTCCATGGGAACCCCTTGAAAGCAGACAGTGTGTCTGTCCTATTTGCCACTGTGCCTAGAACAGGGCCCGGCAGTAAATATCTGTTGACGGCAGGTGCTCAGGAGGAGAACTGTGACTCACCATATTGGCACTGGTCTCTGTCAGCAAGTCCTCCTGGGAGAGAGATCTTCCACTTGGCCCATCCCGGAAGGGCGTCAGGAGAGTGGGCCCCAGATTGGTAGCACTAATACTTCTACACATTTTGGGGGGAAGAGAAGGAGGCTGCTGCGATGTAGTCTGGGCTCTGCTTGGGGTTGCCTGAGATAAATGCAGCTCTTCTGGTGAGCCAGGAAACAACTTTGGCCCTGGAAACAGAAATGAGGAGAGCAGGGGGCTGGTGGTCAGAGGTGTAATCTTGGCTGGGTGCTGCATCCTGGCGGATCACAGGGAAGACAAGAGCAGGGGTGAGATGTTGAAAAATAAAACGAGACCTCACAGACTTGAGAGTGGGAAGAGAGGCAATGGGGACACCATGATGGGGGTGAGGAGTAGGCTGATCACAGGTAAATAAGAGGACGGGATCAGGAGGGAGAAGAAGACTTCCAATAATTCACAGAAGCCAGGGAGGTAAGGAAGCGATGGGGAGGACTTACCACGAGTCCAGAGGGACTGCCTGGTGGTGACGGTGGTTGGGCTCGGGGAAAGTACAGATTCCTCCGTCATGTAGGCAGCTGGTACAAAGATGGGACGAGAGTTGGATGGTGCTCCCAGGCGCCTTGCCAACCACCAGTCTGCATTGGTCTTGCGAAGCAGTCGGAACCTGTCCCCTTCAGCCATAGATACCTGCCTACCATCTGCTGCTGTGTAAGTGAAGTCATAGAGGGCACAGAGCTGGGATCCCCGAGAAGTGTTTCGGGGCCCCAGCCCTAGGCTCCCCCAGGTACTTGGCCACCACTGGCCCAGCTGCATTGTGTTCAATACTGTCACCCGTGGTAAAAAGGGGTGTTGGCTATCCAGAAAGGGACAAAACTGGCTACTTCTAGGCAGAGCAACATGGTTCTAACAGCAGTGTCAGAGGGAGGTAAGGACAGGAAGAGGGTAAAGCAGAGGACCTGAATGGGGGTCAGTGACAAGTTATGGGGGCTGAGAACTCCTGAGCGATGTGACTGGTGAGGAAGTATGTAAGGTGACAGAGGATGTGGTCAGCAGGGCTGCGAGGCCAGCAAGGCAGGAAATCAGACTCGACATAGTTCAGTGATTTTCCTCCAAGTACTTTCTGGGGCCCATGAGAAGATCCAAGGGTAGGAGGAGTTGGTCCAGTTTGGTGGTGGGACTCTTGAGCTGTACACAAGAAGAGGAAAAAGAATCAGGTCTGAGGCAGAACACAGGCAAAGAGAAACCAGCTAATGACAAAGACAAAAATGTTTCTGACCCTTTTTAAATTGACACAGGCACCAATGTTTCCATTACCTAAAGACCTAAAGTTGTGTGCTTCCTGTGTAGAGTCAGAGAGACACAGAAACAGAGAAACAGAGAGCCAGAGAAGTAGCAAGACCAAATTGGAGAGAACAAGAGAGTGGATGGGAAAAACAGAGTGGTTCAGAGTTAGACGCAGAGGTGAAAACTTCCACCATCCTCCCAATCCAGGACATGTTTCAGGGAGCTGAGAAGCCTTGATACAATCCTCTGTATTTAAGCTCTTGGTGAGGGCTCTCGTTTAGTATGTAGGTTCATTCATACATGCTGTTAACAAGGAGGCTGAGCACCTCCTACGTGAAAGAAACAGTGTTAGACATTGGAGATAAGGGAGGGGAAGGAGATAGACACAAGCTTTGCCCTCTTGGAGCTTAAGGACAGGTCTTAACTAACCACATAATAAATGTATTAATTACAATAGAATCAGGGGCTATGGACAACTAGCACAGGATGCTATGACAGCATAATGGGGTGGATGGGAGACTGATGTCAGCTTTTCCCGGGAAGATGGGAGCTGACCTCCCCCATCCATTGTCAGAGGTTTAAAACCCACACTTGTGCTTCCTCCTTACCTGACCACTCCTCTTTTCCCCTTTTCTGTTTCTCCGCAGCACCATGTGAGGCTTTCTGTGAGGCTTTCTGTCTGGCTTTGCAGAGGAGGGGTACCTCCCCCTTGGTGACGTCAGACTGCCAGCTCTCCTCCCCGGACGTGTGATCTGAGGGCTGGGTTACCAGCATTAGGATTCTGCCCCAGTGACATTCCTCCTCAGTTCGCCCGGCTTGCAAAATGTGGAGAATCGCACCTCTCAACCCTTCATTCCCACTTCCAAAATAGTGACCAACTTTACCCACTCATTCATTCATCTAATATTTGTTGAGCACTCAAATCCCATTCTTCTCTGCCTTCTCTGAAGTTCTCTCCTGCACTTTATCATCTACTTCTTTACAGAATCCTTCTCATTAGCTTTTTAATCTTTCCCATCAGGTTTTAAAGGTAGCCAAGTCTTCCCCATCTTTAGACAAACCTCCCTTGGCTGTGCTCTTCAGTAAACATTGTATTTCCTCTCCCTTTTTATAATCAAACTTCTTAAAGAGTTGCCTACACACAGAGGTCTTCATTTCCTCTCTCCTGACTCTCTCACCTTTCTAAGGTCACTCTTCACTTGGGTCATCCCTGAGTTTGCATGGACACTTTGCATTCATAATGCTGCTGGACACCTCAGAAGCTGCCAAAACAATGGATTTTTTTTCTCCTTCTGTAAAAACCGTGAGTGTCCCCCTTACCTTTCTAGCACTTTCTTCTCTGTTGCATAAGGAAAGACTTTCCTTTGCTTGTTCCTTAAACCCCACTGGTCTGTCTGAGATCCTGTGCCCTTTACACTCTGTAGATCCTAGGTAGTCTTAACCTCTCTAGCTCAAATGACCTTCATATGCTGCTGAGTGCTATATTTTCATTCTAGATCTTTATCTAAAGCTCCAGTCTTTTCACTGTCCACTAAAAAAACTCCATTTGGGTATTTCACAGGCACCACAAACACAGTATGTTCTAAACTGATCTTGTCAGCTTTTCCCCAAACCCATTTCTCTTCTAGTACCCCTACTCGGTTAAATTTAAATTCAGTATATATTTATAGAATGCTTATTAGCTTTTGTGCCAGGCAGGAACTGTGGGCTGGGTATTGTCAATTAAGATGACAAATATAATCCCTGCCCTTTCATAACAATTGAAATACAGTGTGCTATTCACTACCATAGGGGAAGTACTATCATCTGTTGGTGCACACAGAGGGTGTACCCAATTGTCCATGCCAGAAACCTGACAGCCAACCTTAATTTCTCTTGTTTCCTCACCATTCACATTTAATCGATTACTAAACCTTTCCAATCTACCTACTTCCTTTAACCCCTATAACTACCACCCTCCTTAGCATCCTCCTTACAAGGATGATATAACCTTACAACTAGTCTCCTAGAATACAATCATTCTTCCTTCCAGCCCATTCCTGCCACAGCAGACACAGTGACCTTTCTAAAACACAAAAATGCCTTGCCACTCTCCTGACTTGACCTTTCAAAGGCTTCTCTTGTCCTCTGAGTAAAGCCCAAATTTTACAATGGATTTACAGACACTTTCTTCCTTTATCCTAGACTTTTCACACTCCCCACTCCAAACTCCAGCCACACACTTATACTTCTGAAGTGCACCGAGGTCTCTGGTCCTTTGCATATGTTCTTTCCTATGCCTGAAACACTTCCTCTCTACACCTCCACCAAACTTCACCTGGCCAGCTCTGACTCACCATTCATATCTCAGTTGAAAGGTCGCTTGCAAAAAAAGGGGCTCTTTTAATGCCTTAGAGTTGGGTAGGGGCCCTAACCAGTAGTTTACACAGCAAGCTTTACATCCTCCATCATAACTTTTGGCAAGCTTTAAATATTATTTGATTATTTCACTTCCCAGGAAGTCTGTGAGCTCTGCCAAGGCAGAAGCCTATATCTATTTTTTTAATAATTCTGTCTTTAATGCCTTGTATAGTTCATGATACAAAGTAACCTTTCTGTGTCTCGCGTCCTCATCTGTAAAACGAGAATGAGAAAACCTATCTCATGGCTTGTTGGTTTGTTTGTATTTTGTTAAATAATAATAATTTTACTATAGCTCATAATATTATGGGTCAAAAATTGAGGTAGGGCTCAACTGGGTGATTTCTTCTGTCCAGTGTGGTATGCAGCAGGCAGATGTGTTGATCTGGAAAGCTTCCCTCACATGCCTGAGAACCTTGACGGGGATGACTGGAATGCTGGGATCAGCCGCAGCCGCAGCCGCTAGCGGGAATGTCAGCAGGAGACCTTTCAGCCTAGGGCTCCCATAGTGTTCTGAGAAGCATGGGCAGAAGCTGCCGCAATTCTTATGACCTAGCTTCAAAAGGCCCAAAACTCCAATAGAATTTTTGAGAATTAAATTAATATATGTGAAGTGCTTAGAACGGTGCCTCGCTCTTACGTATTATTACTAATTACTCTTAAAGGGATACAAAGATTCCTTTCTTAATTACCCATATATGCTTCCTTGTCTAATATATACTTATTGTCAAACTCTGTCTTCTCACTACCCCTCAATCTAACTTTACCCCTACGCATGCGCCCTCCCCTTCGATGAGGTTGTCTAGCTGTGAGCTCCAGACTTATATTAAATCAATATTTAATAGTTCCACTCTTTTTTTTAATTAATAGGATATCTATGCTGATTTCCATTGCGTCACTAAAGTCAGTTTATCGTAACCGTCAACTCTAATTCTTATGAACTTGGAGCGTCTGCCCTTGTGGGTAGCCACAGTCAAGTGTTCGCAACAGGAGGCTGTAAACCCAGGTTTCCGTCACCGCCCTCCCGCGGCGTTAGACGACCAACGTGCGCAGGCCTCTACCCGTCAAGTCTCCTCCCGCCGGCCCAGCTAAAACGGGCTGCTCTTAGCGCTGCCAAGGCGGTCTCTTCCTCTCTATGATACTCTTTTCCTGCTTCCTAGTGTTGCATGATGGGAGAAATAGCCTGTTTCCCCCGAGCGGTGCACAGCGGACGGCTTGCTTCAAAACTTCATTTCCCAGCGTGCTTCTGGCTGATCCCTCGGCCCACACGCGGGAGGCCGGTTCCGGTTGCATCAGCGTGGGATCCACGGCGAGATGAGACTGTTCGTGAGCGAGGGCGCCCCGGGGACACTGCCCGTGCTGGCCGCGGCGGGGAGGGCCCAGGGTAGAGCGGAGCTGCTCATCAGCACTGTGGGCCCGGAAGGTAGTCGGGCTGGTGCAGGCGGGCGGCGTAGGAGAGGGGCGGGACCCAAGACGCCGGACTCCCAGTCCGCAGTTTTCTGCGCGCAACGCTAACCCCTGCCACCCACTGCCGTCAACCTCTTGCCCCATTATCCATGGTCACTCCATCCCCTCTTCCTTCCCAATCACTTCATTCATCAATCACATCCCTAATTACCCTCAGTCCCCTTCCCTTGCCTCTGGTTTCCCCGCCATCCTAAGACCTTACTCACCCCAGTGAACTTTCCCCTTTCCAGCTTTTCCCCACACCTACCAGACACCCCCGCTTCCGACACACACTCACAAGAGTCACTCGCATTACAACCCCCAGTCACTCGCATTACAACCCCCAGACACCTTTTTCTTTCCTGGGAAACCCCACTCTCTCCTAACACTCACTCTCACACTCTCTCTCTCTCTCTCTCTCTCTCTCTCTCTCTCTCTCTCTCTCTCTCTCTCTCTCTCTCTCTCTCTCTCTCTCTCTCTCTCTCTCTCTCTCTCTCTCTCTCTCTCTCTCTCTCTCTCTCTCTCTCTCTCTCTCTCGTTTTGCCTCGTTCTCATTCCCAGTCAACTGTTTGGATGTCTTAAGCGGTTCTCTTGCTGGTTTTTTCTGTTAATTTTGTTCTTCCACAGCTACCAGGTCATTCTCAAATATGCTAGTTACTGTTAACTGTTCCAGTTCGTGGCTGCAGCACCATCCCAATACCACCACCTCCTCTCTGCAATCCCCATCTGTTCTTTCCAGCCGGTAGCCTCCACGGAGCACCTGCTGGTCTCCCCAGCTCATTCTGGACCCACCTCCTTCAGGGTCCTGTCCTGTAACCCCTGGGTTGAGACTGCCCATCTTCTTCCTTTTTCCCCTGAACATTGTGGAGTTGTCCTTCTAAGTTGACAAAGTATTTCTTCCCTTTTTCCTGTTTTTCACCCATTTTTCTCTCCTACATCAGAGCATGTGGTCCCATTTCTGACCCGGCCTAAGGTCCCTGTCTTGCAACTGGATAGTGGCAACTACCTCTTCTCCACTAGTGCAATCTGCAGGTCAGTATTGATGCTCGATGCAGGGAGGTGGCTGAATCAAATGAGGGCTTATTGTCCTCTGTGTGGCCTTATACACAACCATAGTTTCACTGTGAGGTGAAGATGGGCTAGACAAATGGGCTCCTAATTCCACCTTCTCTTGCTGTCTCTCTGGCAGATACTTCTTTCTGTTATCTGGCTGGGAGCAAGATGACCTCACCAACCAGTGGCTGGAATGGGAAGCAACTGAACTGCAGGTGAGGCTGAGGCATGGGAGATGACGGGCAGGCCCTTGCTCTGCATGGCCATCCTGACCTCTGTCCCTCACATTTTAGCCAGCTTTGTCTGCCGCCCTGTACTATTTAGTGGTCCAAGGCAAGAAGGGGGAAGATGTTCTTGGCCCAGTCCGGAGAGCCCTGACTCACATTGACCATAGCCTGAGTCGTCGGAGCTGTTCTTTCCTGGCCGGGGTGAGTTGGGCCTTGAGGTGGGAATTGGGGAAGGCTGTATGGTGTAAGAATTAAGAAGGAGGACAATATTCAGAGTGTTCAAACCTCAATACTGCTACCTTGTAGAAGTGTAACCTTGAAAAAAATCATTAAACTTTCTAATTGTCTATTTTTTAATCTTTGAAATGGGTAATATTGGTACCCACCTCATTGGGCTGTTGAGGAGACTAAGTGAAATAATTTTAACTGCTTAACATAGCACTTGACAGTAGTAAGTGCTTAGGAAATGTTACATATTTTGTTACTGTTGGGCAGAAACTGAGTGTCTCGCCTGTATACTTTTTTCTTTCTCCCCAACAAAGGAGACAGAATCTCTAGCTGACATTGTTTTG